CCTGCCACCCCTGTGGGCTTCCAGCTTTGCTTTGGGTGCCCTGCAGAGCTCAGGGGTGAGTGGGAGGTGGGAGGCAGGGGGTCACTCACCCCTGTGTGCCGGGGGCAGGCTGAGCTGAGCTCTGGGTGTGCTGTGCCAGGCTCAGGGGGATTTAATTAAGAGCAGATGCAATCAGGGCAGGGGGTGCAGGGAGCTGCAGGTGGCTCCTCAGTGGGGCAGTGAAAAGTGGTCCTAGAGGAGAGCTGGAGCCTTTTGTAGTCCCGGTCCCAGGAGCCTTTGGCTGGATGGATTCAGCCAGGACCTGCAGCCAGAGCCCGGCTTGCCTGCAGGGGGAAGGGGCAGGGCCGTGCCCGGGGCTGTGCGAGGCAGAGTTGGCAGAGTTGGCAGCACAGTCCCGGGCTCCACGTCCCAGCCGGGCTCTGCTGAATCACGTTCCCGTGGGGAGGAAGCAGGTCCTTCCAGAACAGGGAGAGCGGTGCCCTGGGAGCACCTCAGCCTGGGGATCCCTCCCTGGGGGCAGGGAGGGGAGGGGCTGCCTGTGCCCCCCACCGTGGGGAGCCCCAGCTCCCCCAGCCCTCTGGGGCTGTCTCTGGAGTGCAGCCAGGGCTGTTCCTCAGGTTCAGCTGCTGGCTGGGAGGTGTCAAAGGACCTGCAGGATCCAGACAAGCGTTTTTTTTCCCCATCCACCCTGGTGTCTTGTTTTGCCTTGTACCTCCTCAAACACCCTCTGAGTGAATCCAGCATCCCCCCCTTTCAGCGACCCTGACCCTGCCCCCATGGCTGCCTGCCTTGGCCCCTCTCAGCCCACGTGTTCCAGCCCTTGGGAGTGGGGCTGCTGGCTGCATCCTGCTGCTCCTCAATCCCAGAGGGTCAGGCCGGTGCCAGGAGTCTGGCACGTCCTGGAGAGAGCAGTGCAGCCCCCCAGCACTGAACTGTGAGCCCTCATCTGCCTCGGAGGCAGGAGAGACCCCTCTGCCCGAGGGTGTCTGTGCTGCAGGCGCAGAACCAAAGGGACCTGCTGGTTCCTGGTGGTCCTGTGTGTCCCCACCCCGGGGGAGCAGAGCTTCCCTGTGGAACCAGTGCTGATGTGTCATCTCTCCCCCTCCTCCTTGCTCTGCAGGCTGCAAAATCAAAGCCCTGCGTGCCAAGACCAACACGTACATCAAGACGCCGGTGAGGGGCGAGGAGCCCGTGTTCATCGTCACCGGGAGGAAGGAGGACGTGGAGATGGCCAAGCGGGAGATCCTCTCGGCCGCCGAGCACTTCTCCATGATCCGGGCCACGCGCAACAAAGTGAACGGGCTGACGGGGGCCATGCAGGGCCCCCCCAACCTGCCGGGCCAGACCACCATCCAGGTGAGGGTCCCGTACCGGGTGGTGGGGCTGGTGGTGGGGCCCAAGGGGGCCACCATCAAGCGGATCCAGCAGCAGACGCACACCTACATCGTGACGCCCAGCCGGGACAAGGAGCCCGTGTTCGAGGTGACGGGCATGCCCGAGAACGTGGACCGCGCGCGGGAGGAGATCGAGGCGCACATCACCATGAGGACAGGCTCCTTCAT